TCTCTGACATGGATCGTTTAGACTGGAATGGCAGGTGCGTTAGAGACACTTTGTGGCCAAGCTTTTGGAGCAGAACAATTTAGGAAAATCAGTGCATACACTTACAGCTCCATGCTCTGTCTTCTCTTGTTCTGTTTCCTTGTTTCTCTTTTGTGGGTTTTCATGGACAAACTCTTGGAACTTTTCCATCAAAATCCTCTCATCTCTCACTTAGCTTGTAGATACTCGATTTGGCTTATACCGGGTTTATTCGGATTCGCTGTTCTTCAATCTATGACTCGGTATTTCCAGTCACAAAGATTAGTTCTTCCTCTCTTCTTGAGCTCTCTTGGAGCTCTCTGTTTTCATGTTCCCTTTTGTTGGCTTCTTGTCTATAAGACGAGATTCGGAATCACCGGTGCCGCTTTGTCCACTGGTTTATCGTATTGGCTCAACGTAGCTTTGCTTTGGCTTTTCATGAGAGACTCTACTCTGTATCGCGAAACCAAAAATCTTCGGCCGCAAGAAATCTTCTCGAGCATGAAGCCGTTCCTCGCTCTCGCTTTTCCCTCTGCAATGATGCTTTGGTAACAAATCCCTCCAAATTTATCCCAAAAAAGCTTTAAAGCTTCTTGCTTTTGATCTTTTAACTCTGTTTTTTTTTCTTTGCTCTGTTTAAGTAAAGCCTGGAATGGTGGTCGTTTGAGCTTCTTATACTAATGTCTGGACTCTTACCAAACTCAAAGCTCGAAACTTCGGTGCTATCCATTTGGTATTGTGCATATAACTTCTACAAATTTTGACATAAAACCCTATTTTTTCGTATAAGCTTTTGATCTTTCAGAATTTATTCTTTGAACAGCTTAGCAATGTCGTCTTTGCATTACGTTCTGGTGAATGCAGTAGGAGCATCCGCCAGGTGTTTTCCAATATTCCTAAGAATCTCTCTTCTTCTGTTTTTCTTTAAAATTTCTCTGAACCACTGTTTTGTCTTTTAATAGCACACATGTCTCAAACGGGCTAGGGGCTGGAAATCCAAAGGCAGCTCGAGCGGCGGCAATTTCTGCGGTATCCCTTGCCGCTATTGATGCAACCATAGTGAACTTAACTCTCTACACCTGCCGAAGAAATTGGTCGATTATATTCAGCAAGGAGAGTGAAGTGGTTGACTATGTGACTCAAATAACACCCATTCTCTGCCTGTCCATTGTTTCTGACAGCTTTCTCGCCGTACTCTCAGGTAAGCAATTCACATCAAATCGAAAGACTGAATACATTAAATTGTGTAGACCAAAGCATTTCTGAGTGAGAACAAATTGCAGTTGTTACTTGACACATATTTATCTGTCCTAAGAAACCCTAGAATTCTTGCCCATTCAGGGATTGCTAGAGGAACAGGATGGCAACATATAGGAGCTTATGCAAACATCGGATCGTTTTATCTGGCTGGGATCCCGGTGGGTTTGATCTTATGTTTCGTTGTGAAATTGAGAGGAAAAGGACTTTGGATCGGTATATTCATAGGCTCAACTCTACAAATGATTGTTCTTGCTCTTGTCACCTTTTTCACCAATTGGGAAAAAGAGGTATACCTTTAATTGTTTGGATTAATATCTTCTTGTTGTTGCTAGAGTTTTGAATCTTGTTTTGATTTGGGTTTTAGGCAGCCAAGGCTAGGGACAGAGTAATCGAGATGACACCACAAAGCAACCAAGTAACAGAAAGCATATTAAAAGAGGATGTAGAAGTTTAGTGAAAGATATTTTAGAAAGTGTGTAAATCACTTAACGTATGTATTTTGGAGACTATCAAAACGTTGATTTGCATTTTAAGAAGTTTGGATTATTTGAATGCAGAGGAGTTGAGAAATTGAGATGCAATCTTATATGATATAGTAAGGGACCTGAAGATGTAAAGATGTAAATTTCGTTTCAACGAAACTCGGAGGGATGGGTAGTCTTTCAACGTCACTACTCAAAGTGACTAAATCTATGATTTCATATTGATGCATCAGAAAATTTTCTTTGATTTGTTGTCATATCTATGATAAAAAATCATAAGATGTTGGCGTGTGTCAATTTGTTTTTGGAAATTTGCTAAACTAGGACAAATTGACACATGCAATGTTCCACTTTGGGGCTCATGCACTTTTGTCATTTCTTTTTCTATAATACCATTCATCCATTTTAAATATTTAAAAATAAATAGTTTGATAAGTTTTAAGAAATTGAAAAATTATAAAAGGGGATAGAATACTCCACGTAAATATTATGAGATATCGTTTTTCGCAAAATCAAAGTTAAAAAATAAATTTGTAATTTTGTTCTACGTCTTCCAAAATTCGCGTTCTACTATACAATGCTTTTGCGAGTCTGAAGAATGTTTGTTCTACATTTTGTTCTATTTCTACCAAATGTAGAATTTGAGTTCTAGTATATCCTCTATATTCTACTATTTGGTAGAATAGTCGTTCTACTACTTGCTCTAAAAACTACCAAAGCCTGAATACACTAACTACCAATTTCTCCATCTTCTACCACGACGAGAATATAAATTCTACCATATATTATATCTTCTACTAGATTTGGACCTGCGTTGATATGCGGATAAGCACATTAAAATTTATTGATATAGATATATAAGTTTTAATTAGTAACCTGGTGAATTACAAACATATTTTGAAATATTATTTAAACATGGGTCTTAAATCATTAGAGATCAATTTATATTTTAATTCGCACGTCGTAATTCATATCATGCATACCCATATATAAATAAATAAAAATATTCCAACCCATTATGAATATATTAATTATCTGATAAAATCGTAAAAATAATTTAAATACTATAGATTTAAATCAAACAAAAAAAATTCATGCGAATAATCTTATAAAAACCTATAGAATATTTTATAAATAGCTTTATCAAGTATCATACATAAATCCATAATTGATAAATGTATACTGTAGATGTCATTGGTTTTTTTCTTATAGAGATCTATACTTGTCAAACCTTAAACACTTTTGGATCTTTAAACCAAACATTATTTTTTTTTTAACATGTATAATTTTCATTTTATATAATTTTGTTTTACATTGAAAAATACCAATACCGTGATAGTTTATATATTTTCATTTTTTTTTTATATTATATAACTGTGTTGCAAAATAAATATGTTTATAGTTTTTTTGGTTTTTTTGTATGCATGATTGTGCATATCTTAAATTTTTAAATTGAGATTTTCAGATCGTTTCAAATGTTTTGTTTTTCAATTTATATACTATCTTTTGTTTTATCATTCACATTTAATTTTTCTTAATTAAAGTTTTTATTTTCTCTCCACTTTTTTACTTTCTACGATTTATACTTTATAACTATATTGAACTATTAGATTTTTGAGAAATTTTTAAAAATACCACTTTTCAAGTGTCATTTTACAAAAATGCCATATTTTTACAATCTTTGCAAAAATACCACTTTTTAAAATTATTTATTCATTATACCATTTATGTTTGGGTTAACTATGTTGTA